AATTAATGGTCTATCAGCAGACTTTTCCTTTCTTCCTCAAGAAGTGTTTGCTTAGGATGACTCAGTCGGCGCAGATCATGGCTCTGGTAGCCCTCTTTTGGCGTATTTGGAAATCTCGTAACTGGGCAGCCTTTGAGGGCAAGCATCGTGGACCCTCTAGTGGTTGCGACTCTTGTGTTCCATGAGGCAAGAGTAGGGAACTGTGCAACTGAGTAGGGAAGGGGAGTTTCGGGATATACTCCTTCACTATCGGATGCGGCTTAGGTGCAGGCACCTCAACCTCCTTCTCTGCTTCTTCAACCGCTGGAGACGCTAAGACAGGGGTCTCTTTCTCTTGTTCCCGAACAGGTGGATCAACAGTCATCTTGCCACTCCTGGTTGTGATGGCATTGCAGTGCTCATTCTGATTCTGCGAATGAGGGATGGTCTGACCGGGTAGAGTACCAGGAGCCCTTTGTGCCACTGCCTGAGCCACGCTCCCCAGCTGGGTTTGTATATCCTGCAAGACAGCCTGTGTGTTCCTCTGGCCAGCTTCAAGAGCCAGGAATTTACCCGAGGCCTTTTCCATGAACTGCTCGATAATGTTGAATTTCTGAGCACTAGAACTGGCGAGAGAACCCACCAAGTCCCGCAATTCGGCCATCTGATCATTCTGCACTAGGGCAGCAGGGGCTACACCTGGCTGCTGGAAAGGTCGCGGCTGTGATTGAGTAGCATGCCCCTGCATGGGCTGGTAGAGAGACTGTTGCTGCTGCTAGAATTGCCCCTGTCTGGGCTGATATGGCAGCCTCTGGAAGCCCGGTGGTCCCTGGGGGACTGGTGGTATGGAATTTGCCCCACCCCAGGAGAAGTTGGGATGCTGGCGCCACCCCTCATTGTAAGTGTTACTGTAAGGGTCAATGCGCCTGACATTATTGATGAAGTTCACCTGCTCCTGGGTTGTGGTCGATTCCTTCATCGCCTAGTAGTCTTCCACCGTGTGACGGGTGCTCTCGCACTAGTGGCAGAGCATCGCCTGCTGCTGTCCGGTCCCTGGAATCATCCCGGAACGATCGATAGCTGAAACCAGCTTCGATACTACCTGCACCAAATCAGAGGAATGGGTTCCCACAGAATGTACACCCCGGCTTGGTGCTCTTCTCGACCTTCTAGCAGTGCCCCAATCATACCCGTTCTCTGCCATCTCCTCAAAGAGTTGATTCAGCTGTTGCGGTGTTTTGGTCAGCATGTTCCCGCCACAAACCGAGTCAATCAGCTGCTTGTCTTCTGGGAAAAGGGCGTGATAGAAGGTGCCCACCTTGAAGGCATCATTGAAGCCATGATTTGGACACCTCAGGAAGAGACTGTTGTATCTCTCCCAAGCATCCCTGATGGTCTCATCCTCATCCTGAGCAAAATGGGTAATTTGCTTCTGCAGGTCAGCCGTCTTGGATGGAGGATGGTAGCGGGTGAGGAACTTGTCCGCCAGGTTGGCGAACGTGGTGATAGAACCCGGAGGTCGAGTGTCTAGCCACTCCTTTGCCTGCCCCTCCAGAGTAAATGGGAAGTACCTCAGTTGGATGGCATCTGCTGGGACCCCATTTATCTTGATTCCATCAATCAGCTCGTGGAATCTCCTCATATGCGATCGGGGGCACTCACCCTCCTTGCCACGGAACACCACTGAACCGCGCAGCATGGTGATTACTGAGGTGCTCACCTCAAAATTGTTGGCTGGGACATGAGGGTGTTGAATGGGTGACCTCATGTCCGCGGCTCTGGCGGTCCAGTAGGATCCCATGGTCTGCTCCTCTAGATTGATCACATCCTGGTTCTCTGGATCAGCCATCTCCTCTTCGTCAGTGATCTGCAGCTGTGCTAGCGCCTCCTCCGCAGCCAGTCGCGCCTTTAGAGCCAGCTTGAAGTTCCTGCAGGTCCTTTCAAGCTCCTGGTCTAATGGTAGTAGTTCCCCTGACTGACTACGGGTCATGCACTACCTGCACACAACCAGCAGAAGCAACCCGTGAAGGCACACAGGTGGAAGAGAAAAAAAAATGCAGTAAAGAAAAAGCTAGAGTAACAAATTCTCACGTTTCCCCAATAACCTAGAGGTTCCCCGGCAACGGCACCAAAAACTTGACACGCCAAAACACAACACCAAACTGCGACCAAGTGTAATCGCAGTCCGGGAATGCAGTAACAGGCAAGTTCTATTATCAACCCGGGGTCTAGATCTACTGCTTACTCCGTGATTATCTATTATCTAGCCATAGGCTTGTCAATTGAACCCGAATTCCGGGTGCCCGACCGAACCCGCCCCGGTTGGTGGCGGTTAAAATCCGGTCAAACGGATAGTTGACGGTTTGCGGGGAATCCGTTACCCGCTACAGCCGGTTGTCGGGCGGTGATGGATTTCTTAATATCCGCCCCGAGAGAACCCGAAACCTGCTTCCCCTCTGAATATCCACCCCACCCCCAGTCCCCAGTTCATTTCGCGAAAAAATCTCACCCCTTTACAAACCCTAGCGCCGCTCTGAAAAATCGAATCCCCAACCCTGTCCCTTCTTCTTCTCCTCAAATCTCGCAATATGCTCTTCGATTGTAGAGAAAAACGGCACAAAATCATTGCATTCATTGTTTCTAAGAGCAGATACCCAATCAATCAGAGCAAACCCTTCGATTTTTTCAAATCGAGCCATTCCCGATGGCGATTAGAGCGCCATCTTCCTTTTATCGACTCTTCGAGTTCGATAGGAAGTGGGAACTTCTTTTTCCCCTTCATGCATGCGCCTATAAATACCTTACTTGAATTTTTTTGCTGCAGATTGCCAGATTCTCAGAAAGCATATCACTCAGAGAGAAGTAGTAAGCTAGCAGCTGTCTACAATTGCGATTTCCAGTCACTGGCTCACTGCAACTGCAAGGTGAAGGAAGCACAACCGTAAGTGTTCTACTGTTCTTCTTAGCCTTGACCTCTGGGGTTTGCAAGATTATTTTCAACAACTTGTCTAATACCTCGGGACTTTGTTGATTGATGTTAGGGTTTCTGGTGGCGGGGTTGTCATTAATCAGTAACGAAGCTTAGAAAGGTATTACTACTTGATTCTCCTAGTTCTTTCAGGTTTCAAGGAATTTAGCAGCGACTGATTTGTTTCATTGGTTTGTTTTCTCGGGTGATTGCAGGTAATTAATGGAAGGAGTTCAATTATCTCCCGCCCCCAATTCTCAATCCCCACTCCCACCCCCCAATCCTCAGCCCCTGCCTGAACCACAGCAGCATCAATCAGCGATTGCTGTTGATGCACCAGCAGCTGTGAATGGCAATGCTGATACTAGTGCTGCTGCTGGTGGTGAGTCAGAGCCCTCTCCCCTGCCTTTTGGGGCCAAACGTCCACTGAAAAGTGATGTTTGGCCTCACTTTACAAGGTTTGTGGATAAAGATGGTGTAATGAAAGCACGATGCAAATACTGTCGAAAGGTTCTTGGTGGTGACACCAGCAATGGTACCTCTCATTTGAGGAACCATAAAAAGGTGTGTGTTCAGAAACAAATTCACGATGGTAATCAGAAAAACATTGCCACTAATTTCCTCCCTAATGGTTTGATTGGAAAGAAAGAACTGTGTACTGGTCAGTTCAATGCAGAGGTTTCAAGGAGGGAACTTGCCACTATGGTTTTGATGCACGAGTATCCACTTGGTATGGTGGATCACTTGTATTTCAAAATTTTTTGCAATTCTCTGCAGCCCTTGTTCAAAGTTCCCTGTAGGAACACTTGCAAGAGTGATATTCTTGCCTTGTATGCGATTGAGAGGAAAAAGATTCAAAAAATCATTGATGGTAACAAAGGTAGAATTGCTGTCACAACTGACATGTGGACAGCAAGTAATCAGAAGAGGGCTTACATGGCTGTAACCTCACATTATTTTGACAACAATTGGAACCTTAGGAGCCACTTGTTAAGGTAATTTGCTTATTCAATTTGTTCTTTCTTTGATGTTTATTTGTTTAACACTTAACAGAAACTGACTTCGAGCTTCATTTGATGTTTGTGTGAGTGTATGACAGGTTTCTCTATGTTCCTGCCCCCATACTAGTGAGAAACTTGCAAGTGTGCTCCGAGAGGCTCTAATGTCATGGAATGTGGACTGTAAGTTATCCACTATCACTCTTGACAACTGTTCTACAAATGATGCCATGATTGAAAAGATTAAAAGGAAGATGGTTATGTCTGACTTTCTATTGAATGGTTCCTTCCTCCAAATGAGATGTTCGGCTCACATTCTTAACTTAATTGTTAAAGATGGGCTTGAAATTATAAAAGATGGGATTTAAAAGATAAGGGAAAGTGTGGTGTATTGGACTGCAACTCCTAGGAGACTTGAGTTCTTCGAAGAGACTGCTAGGCAAAAGAATGTTTGTATTGGAAAGAAACTTGCACTTGACTGTCCTACTAGGTGGAATTCCACCTTGCATATGCTTGAATCTGCAATTCCATACAAGGAAGTGTTCACTCGTTTGAATCAGAGAGAACCTAACTATACTTCCTTGCCTAGCAGTGATGATTGGATGTTTGCTACTGTTATTAGCAAAAAGCTTGATATTTTCAGAAATATTTCTGAGCTTCTTTCTGGAAGCAATTATCCTACTGCTAATATATTCTTTCGAAGGATCTGTGACTTGAAATTGAATCTGCTTGAGTGGATGACTGATCCACATAGCATCATTTGTGAAATGGCCGAAAAAATGTGGGCCAAGTTTAGCAAATACTGGACTGATATCCATGTATTGCTCACTGTGGCTGTTGTTCTTGATCCTGCATACAAACTTGAGCTGATTCAGTACTATTATGATAAGAGCAATGGCTCTGATCATACTCTTGATCCTGTGACTGTTAAGGCCACTGTTTATGATGTTGTCCGTGAGTATCAGTTGAAACAAAAGGACAGAGATGACCATTCTGCCTCCTCTGCTTCTGTTAATGGTGTTAAGGCCAATTCTGGTGACCTTGACTTCGAGCTTTATTTAAGCCGAAGGAAAAGGTCCAAAATAGTTTCACTATGCTCTGAATTGGATCATTATCTCTGTGAGGATATTAGTCCTCGAAGTTCAAATGTTGGGGTTTTGGATTGGTGGAGGGTGAATGCTGGAAAATACCCACTTTTGCAAGAGGTAGCAAGAGATTTGCTTGCTGTACCAGTGACCTCTGTGGCCTCTGAGTCAGCCTTCAGCTCTGGTGGTAGGCTGCTAGATCCTCACCGAAGTAGGCTGCACTTTGAAACTGTCGAGGCACTCATGTGCACCCGTAGCTGGATTCAGAGTGACATTTGCAAAGGTAAGAGCTCTTATTTTTGTTATTTCCCGGTCTGTTTTAATTTGAAATATTCGAAAGTTTTGTTAACTATACTCTACTTGAATATGCAGATGCTGGAAAGGCTGACATTCAAGGTTTGGAGACTTGCTTCTCTGCAATGACAATGGAGGATCCAAGTTGTGAAGAGTTTACGAAAGAAGGTACTTGTGCTCTGTTTTATTATTATACACAAGTATCTTAAGTTAGTAGTTAAGTTAGTAGTTAACAAGTACCTTAAATTGCCACAGATTTTCAAGGTAGCCAGAGTCGTACACTCTTGGACATTGAAGATTGAAGTGTGCTGCTAGTGAATGGTGATTGACTGATTGTTGTGCTGGGCTGCTGGATTTTGTTTGCTGACTGATTGCTTGATGATGGTGCTGCTCGATAAGACTGAAACTGAAAGGTGAAGAGAACTACTGCAACTGCCGCTCTTTTTTGTTGTTTGGTTCAATTTGGAACTTGTTTTTTTTTTCGTTTGGTTTATGGCTATATGCCTTTATGGATGTTGGAATCCAATTTCGAACATGTTTGGATGATGAATTATTGATGTTTGGTTGCTGGATTTTGCAAGTTTATGGATTTCATCTGCAATTTATGCAGTTTTTCAGTTTCAATTTGACTGTAATGTCTCTGCTTTTTTGTTGGATTCAGCAAATTTAAGTTTTGTCGGGTAAACCCGCTATAACGGGTTCTAACCCGTTACCCGTTGGTTTCGGGGGTGGGCCTAAAAAAAAGCCCGCTAGTGCTAACGGGGCGGATTCGGGGAAAACCCGTTATGATTTCGGGCGGGTGGCGGATGGGCCTGCCCCGGCCCCGATCCGCCCCGTTGCCAAGCCTATCTAGCCAACTAAGTTGAGTGATTGTTGTTAAAACTAAAAGCAGTAAGAAAGCAGGAAATTATTCGGTTTTCTAAACCAGGAAAGAGTCACTCGGGAATGAGTCCCCCTAGCTCCTTAGTTAGGTTCAATTGTAATTACCCTAGGTTGATTCACTGTTGATTAGACTGCGGAAGATCCGACAGTAGCTTGTAATCTCTTAAGCTGACCAAGCCCTCTCAGTCTAACTACCCGGCAGTCGACTAGTCTTCACCGGAATAGAAAGCTGAGGCTGTGAACACAGAACTCCACTACTGGAATTGAATTCCAGTACAAAGCAGTAAACTGGCTAACTCTCGTATAACCAATCTCCTACTATCGAATGAAGAGGCTCTAACAACCTAATCAGATTCTATCTATCTCAGGTTGCAGCAGAAATCAAGAAAAGCTGATCAGACTTCAATCAATTCAATAAAACATGCATCATTCGATTAAAACCAAGCAGTATAATCATCCCAAGTCATTACAATCAAATCCCTAACACAAGGAACTAGGGTTCTTCATACCCAAGTGAGAGAAGGGTTCTACTCCATAGAGAGAGAGAGGAAAACAGAAATGAAAGTAGTCATACTCATAAAGATGAGGAAAATCTGCTGTGGGATGTCAATCTTCACTCCTCGGGACGCAATCTGGGCTTCAATGGTGAGAAATCCACTCCAAATAGCTCCTAGGGTTTGTTCTTCGCTCTTTCTCTCTCTAAAACTCTGGTTTTGCTCTGAAAATCCGATTCTCTCACTTGTGGCTCGGAATTGGGTGAAAAACCAAGATTTCCCGACTCACACGGGCAGGGCACACGGCCGTGTGGCTCACCCAGTTTCCCGTGTGACTCAAAACGCGGCGTATCGATTAATTGGATTCCAGGCTTCCCACACGGCCAAAGTCACACGGCCGTGTGGTAATTCAGCCTTGCCCGTGTTTGCTCTCGCAGAATTCCACACGGCCACATTGCTCCTTCACACGGCCGTGTGGAATGTATTTTTGCCCGTGTGAAGGCTCGCACAATCCCACACGGCCACATTGGTCACTTGCACGGCCGTGTGGTGTTTGTGTGTGCTCGTGTGGCTTCCTCATCGGCTTGCCTCGCGCATGATCTTCATCCAATCGACCCCAAACTCGCTCCCAGGCCTCCATTCACGTACTAGGACCTGATATATCACAAACAAGCACAACCTAGCGTGAAATCGGCCTAAAACACGAGAAACCACATCTCAAAGGGTGTAAGAATAGGAGTAAAAACATGTGTAATTAATGGTCTATCAGCTAGGGGTGGGCATCGGTTCGGTTCGGTCTAAACCGAACCGAACACAAGCATACCGGGTCCTTCGAACAGATTAGAGATGAAACCGAATTCGAACCGAAATATATTTCGGTTCGGTTTGGCCAAACCGAAATATATCTCGGTTCGGTTCGGGATCCCGACCAACCCGAACTTCTAGAGACATCTTCCCCACTTCCCTTTCAATAATTCGTCCCCTTCTTTCACCCTCTGCTACTCTCTCTCTCTCTCTTCCAAACAAAGATTCATCTCTCTCCCTCCCACCAAACTTTCTCCCAAACAAAATTCATCATCTTCTTTCATCCTTCTTCCTTCCCTCTGCTGCTCTCTCTCCCTCCCACAAAACTCTCTCCCAAACAAAATCTTATACTAAATAAAAATCGATTTTCAAAGAAGAGGTAGAGATCTCAAAGATTGAGAACGAAGGGAGAAGGGTAGATCTGATTTCTCTGTTCACGTCCCCCCGACCTTGAGTAAGGCGTCGCCGCTATCCCGCCACCGATGAGTCTAGTGAAGAGCGGTGGATTTCTTCGTTGGTGCGGGTCGCGGTGCGAAGGCGGGGCTGGGTGCGAGTTGCGGCGACAGCAGTGACGTCGAACGTCGGGTTGCGGCAAGGAGGTGGAGCTGGGTGCATCTTCTTCGACTTTTCCGCCGCCGATCTACATCTTGAAGGAGATGGCAGATAGGTGGAAAATGGAAATGAGATAGCAGTCAGCAGATAGGGTTGGGGCCTTGGGGGTAATGGGCTTCGTGGGAGAGAGGGGGTTTGGGTAGGGATTTTTTGTGGGCTTCTTTGGCCAGTGTGGGCCTGAGGGAAGGGTGGGCTCATTTGGTTGTGAGTGTAATGGGGAGAGTATGGGCTTGGGCTAGGCAGATTGTATAATTCGGTTTATCGGTTCGAAATTCGGATGTTCGGTTCGGTCGACAGGATCATGGGTTCCGAATTATGCCCATTTCCCTTCCGAATTCCGACCCGAAAAATATTTCGGTCGGTTTCGGTCGGTTTCGGTTCGGTTTGATTCGGTTCGGAAAGGTGAACCCGAACCGGATGCCCACCCCTACTATCAGCAGACTTTTCCTTACTTCCTCAAGAAGGGTTTGCTTAGGATGACTCAGTCGGCACAGATCATGGCTCTGGTAGCCCTCTTTTGGCGTATTTGGAAATCTCGTAACTGGGCAGCCTTTGAGGGCAAGCATCGTGGACCCTCTAGTGGTTGCGACTCTTGTGTTCCATGAGGCAATCCAGTGGTGTCAGGCTCTAGGACTCCCCCAAGTTATGTTTGAGGGAGATGCAAAGGTCCTCATTGATAAGATTAATGCAGATGATGCACAGGATGGTCGTGTTGGGGCTATTATTCAGGAGATTTTGAGTTTGCTAGCTCTAAATAGTGGTTTCCAGGTTAGATTCGTAGGTCGGAATAGCAATAGGGTAGCCCATTCTATGGCTAGAAAGGCCCTGTCTTTGTCTCCGGCCTCGTGTCAATTGTACGATTTCCGTGCGTGGGTTGATTCCAGGATGTAACTTGTTATCTTTTCTTAATCAATATGATTATCTTTTGTCAAAAAAAAAATCTAAACAAAATAATAGCAATATTTCGAAAAACAAAATAATAGCTAAACTGTTAACTTTTCATCCGATTGACCGTCAGTTAACTATGACATGGCAATTTAATGCTGAGTTGGACAAATCTCGATGATGTGGCAAAAAGATCATTGTTTGAGTGTACTGAATTATAATTTATTAATTTTTAAAACAAGAAAAAAAAAACTGATCAGATTTGAAATCCTAATTATTTGCTCGTCGACGGCGTGATTAAAAGAAGGAATTGCGCAAAGGCAAATTACACACACAGAGGAAGTCAACCATGGAGAGATCAAACACGACCAAATCATCTTTTTCCGAATCAGCTCAATAGCGCAATTCCTTCTCCGAGTATGCCCTCTCCAAATCCACCGGCCACTCGCCGCCTTCCTCAAACCACTGTTGGGACTTTTGGGGACGAGGGTACACGTACGATAGCCCGAGATCGGGTGACTAGGATTATGATAGAGTCGTGAACTACGTTCACTTTCCGTAAAGAATATTTCCACCCTCAACAAGCCTAGGGTTACAGAAAATTTCTTCGTAGGATAAAACTATCACCACTTTAGGTTCCAGGCTTAAGTACCTAAAGCATACTTAGAAGTTAGAAGTTTAGTTGGAAGAAGAATCGATTTTTTTGTGTGTAATAAACCCTCATCCGACCCCATCTATTTATAGATAACAGTGGAGGGCATTGAAAAATCATAACCCTTTCATTTCTGGTCGGTTGGCTTTTGGCCAAACAACATGTCTATTCATTTGAAATGAAACGTTGCTATGGAGGAAAACTTCACTTTGTTTAATTTGATTGACTTGCCGGTGTCACGAACCATACAATTTGCCTCCTGGGAAGAGACGCATCTCTTGACCCCAACCGTTGCCAATTTGAAATTAAACCACCTTTTCATCTTACATGCCATTACTAAATTACATGAAATGTATCCATGCTTGGCAATGCAAGGCAACGTGAAACGTTGCTGGGAAAGATAGCTACCAATTCAAATGGCCCCAATTCCAAAACTTTTGCATGCCACTAAATGCCAAACGTGGTCCGGTCTAACCCATAGTATATGGTTCGACCAATTTCATGCAACCGATCAACCAATTTCTAACAACCACCACCACCTTCACCGCAATCCCATCGATAGCATACTGGATCATGATTCATGACGACGAGACGACCCCATCTTCTCCCTCCGCCATCGTTTCCGTCAGCATCCCCATCAACCGGATCTCAGACCACCACATCCAGCACACCCGGCGACCGTTAATGGGGCTCTCCCCAATCCCTCTCCCAAATCACCTCTGCTTTCTTTTCCGGTGGGTTTTCAATAGGGTGAGATTTCTCATATATTCTGTTTCCTGATCATTTCCGGTTGCTGCTTTGAATTGATTTCACTTCCTCATTGTCTGTTGCAACGAGTTCATCCGACGCATCGCGATTTTAGGAGCCTCCGTCGTGTCCATCGGCGGCCGGGCGGAGGAACCGAGGCGGAACAAAAAATTAGAAGCATTTTTCTATTTTTTTCAAAATAAAAAAGGAAAATGATAACAGGTGGAAATTAAAAAAAATTAATTGAAATTTGCTAAGTTGGCAGTAACATGGCGCGTTACCATCCAAGTTAACGGTCAAACGTCGGGTTTGGCCAATTTAGTTATTTTGATATATAGTTTGGGTTAGGATGTTACAGATCAAAAAGATTGGCCAGTATGTTTATTTTGGTCAAAGTTCAGGCCATACCAATATATTAACCCTTTATTTTTTTAGTTTATTGTTTTTAATGATGTGGAAATATTTAAAACATTAAATTAATTTT